AGCTTGAGGAAGCCTGTGCAGTTTGAGCCTACCTTCCTTCTTGTCTGAGTGAGCATAAGGACAAATTGAAAAGTTACTGACTTGCAGCTCTGTGCAACATTTGTATGAAAATAAAAGTTCTTAAAATCATTGCATGAAATGGCCTGAAAAAACTGTCAGTAAAAATGGTAGTGTAATTTTAGGATTTTTTTTTGTCTAATGTGTTTTGGATGTTATATTTTTAAATCAAGGAAATATCCTTGAAGTGGCTTTTCACTTATCCTCAAATTCATGGGTGAAAGTGTGTGGTGCTTTGATTTGGTGGGGGTTGGGTGTTGGTGTGGTTTTTGATTTGTAGCTTCCTACACTTATCTTAGACTCTCTTTTGATTGCGGGGTTGATTTTTTTTTTTTGCCTACTCTTTTTACCTGATAGCCACCATTTTCACTGTTGAGGACTGGGCAGCTGTTCTTCTCTCCCCTGTTACTCCACTTTTCCCCAAAGCCTGGGGGCTTTTTTCAGGTTTGTGATAAGGTAGCTGCGCAGCACCATGCAGCGCTTCTCCTGTCCCCTCTGCCAGGTGGGGGGGTGTGCTGTTATAGCTTCATTCTTGAGGAACTGGGGAGGACCAGAGTAGGAAACCTGAGGTGGAGTTTTCCTACACAATGCTTCTGGAGTATCAGTTAATTTAACACAAATCAAAAGGGTATTTGCTTGGTGTAAATCTGTGATGTTAGTGTAGTGAGTTTTCTTGTCCTTCAGGACAGCCTGAATTTGTCAATGCCTGGTTAGCTGAGTTGATTTGATAGTTTGGTTTTTTTTAAATTTTGTTCCCCTGCTTTTTACCGGCTGTACATGCATTTAGTGAGAGAAGCAGTGGCTGTGTGACTATCTGGCTCGTAAACTTGAGTTGCAGTGGTTCAGGATTAAAAAGATTGTCAAAACTTGGAATAGTGTTTTTCTTTTTCTTTTTTTTTTAATATCCCTATATATGTGGGCTTTATTAAATATTTAGGTATCCTCAAATTAGCTTGGCCAAATGTAATGTGGTGTCTATTTCTTATAAAGTGTTTGTCCTGGGATTGCACATTGTAGCACATGGGTAGAACGGTATCTGCAGCACACAAAAAGAGGAAAGAACAGCTATTTGCTGTATTGGTGCTGTGCTGCACTTGGCCTTGAGGCTACTTCTGAGGAAGCAAACAGTTAAAATTTAACTCCACATCCTGTTGATCAACTGGGTTTTGGTTTGTTGTTTTTTTTTTTTAATATGGTTTGAAGCAGACAGATAGTGGAGACAGCTAATCATTAACATTCCTTCAACCTCCAAGCTTAACTTTGCTTCTGGGATTAGCTGGCATGCTCGCTGGGACCCAGTTAAAATGGCAAAGGGATTGGTTTGATGGTTTAGTTTAAACCTGCTTCCCAAAGGAAACATGTTGTGGTTTTGGAAGGGCTGTCTTCTCCCTCTTCTCCAAACCAGTGCAATGCTGGACTTTTGCTTGCTTGATTATGTTGTCTAGGAGAGAGTGTCCCTTCTGTATTCCCCAAATTTTAAATTATGCGATGTATTTAAGTTGCAGCATAGGCCAAGCATACCTGAAGCTGGTCTGACTGTTTGCTACTGCTTGTTAACCTGTGTTAACACAAGCCAGTTTACCATTCTTTGCCCCTCTCTATCTTTGATGTTTAAAAGTAGGTTTTGTCTATGAAATCACACACTAACTACTGTTTAGCTGTCTTGTTACCATACCGGAGTGGACACTTAGTCATATCTACAGGTGCCAAGTGTGGTCAGAGCTTTGAGAATGGTCTTAGTTTGGCTGTTACCTTGTATATGTGGCTTGTCTGTCTTGGGAATTAACTGTTGTCTGACTGGATAGCTATGCTATCCTGCTAAAAATTGCTTGTGTTTTCAGTTTTTCCTCTTTTGGAAGTGGAAAAATACTGCCTATGACTACACAATAAGCTTCCACATCAACATCAAGCAAATAGATATAAATAAAAATACAAGAATGAACAACTGTTGTGTGCTTTGTTTTGCATAATGATCACATAAAAATTAATAACATGCAGTCTTTATAGATCTAGAAAAAGTAATTTCTTCTTCAAGAAGCAAGATGCTGCCTAGTAGCTGGTGGGCAGCATATTGCTCTGGGCAAAGCATATGCTGGGAGCCTTTGCTTTGCATAGGGGCAAAATACCACCTTGCTTTTCCAGTGTACCAGATGTGGCAAGAGTTGCAGTCTCATTTGGTTTGAACAGGGAATTAGTCTCTTGCGCAAGCATGCCTGCATGCTATTCAGGATTTAAATATATGCACTAAGTTGCTGGCCCTGCACTGTGATACAGCTAGTCTTCTCTTTACTTGGTTTACATTAGTGAAATCCATGGAAAGACTTTACAAGTCGCTGCTCTATATTTAATTTTGGATAAGCTGTCTGATATAAATAATATATGCTCTTTTCCTGTTGTAAGGGTTTTTTCTTCTGTTAACAACAATTTGTTGCAAGATTACTTAAGTCATTTTCCAAAGCGAGTATGGTACAGCATCTGTTCCTGGAATTTCTTATCCTCTGCTCTAGTAATTTATGGAATTTTCATTATTCATAGCAGAGAGAAAAAGTCAGTCTTCATGGATTACTTGCTAGGAGAAGATACATCTTTTTGTGCTGTGAAAGGCTTTTGGTTTGTTTCTTTTTTCTTTTGACATCAATGTTACGAGAACTCTTAGTATAAAGATGCATTTTTGTCTGTCCACTGAACAAAAAAGGAATTTATAAGTAACAACAGATTCTGTTTGTGCGAGTGAATTAGAAGCATGGATTTATTTCAAGGGGCATAGTAGTAGTATTTTAAAATACCCTCTTTTAAAACATTGTAGTATGTGCCTTAAATTGACATTCTCCTCAGCCTTCTATATTGCTATGTTGTTTAGGTGACTCTAAAAAAAGTGTGTTTTTTCACCTATGCAGTGCTCATGTATTAAAAAATATGAAGAGCTGCATATTTTAAAGAGTTCTGTAAGATAGTCTGAGACCTGCTATTATCATTGAACCAAAGGGTTCAAGTTGTATGGAGGAATTGGAAGAGAGATGGTCTAAGAACAAGTAGCACAGCACTCAGATAATGTTTCTTGATCTTGCTGAAAGCAAACTGAAATGCAGAACTAACATGTATGTTTTAGTATCTAAAAGGAAAAGAACAAATAATAGCTGGAGTTGAAGAAATATAGGTAGTCTTGTTCTTAAGTCTTTGCTCTATTGTCTGTGAAATTGGCTGCCAGAGCAAACGTGGGTCCAATGGCTGCTATCTGATACTGATGTAGTAGTAAATGCTTGATGTATAGGATTGTCTCTTTTAGAAAGGTGTTTTTTATTCCTGACTTCGGGGTTTTTCAGAGCATGAGCATTTAGAACAATAAAGCTTGCTCTAAAGCTTTATTGGATATCAACTAACTTATTCCAAATAAACTAATGCGGACATACACATTTAATGTCTTACATTGCTCTGGAAAATCATAACTCTTATTTCTGTTAAGGTTCCATGTGCTTCCAAAGTAAAAGAATCTTTTGCAATGTTACAAGTTGTTTTCACAGCTTAAAGCTATATAACAGACAAGCTTGCTTGATATCACTGCTTTTAGGTGCTTCTTCACTCATGTTCGTACTTGTAATCTGCAATGCCATGTATCAAAGCTGTTAGGGAGGATTTTCTTTCTTTCTGTACTTAGGAGAATTTAAGATTATTTGAGCGTGTGCACCAGTTAATGAAAAAAACAGTTCGATTGAAGGCATTTCTTAGTGAACTCTGAACACTGAACGCTGGCTTTCCTAGAAATGGTCGTTTCCTGGATGCCTACCTTGCTTTTTTCATCTTACCTCAGAAGTAGAGTGAAACATAAACTGATTTTGTGCTTCATCTTTTGCTCTGCTTCACTAAACAAAACATTGCACATTACAATATCTATTTTGGATTAGGCCATTTCTAGAGATGTACCCAAAAGAGTGCTGATGGACAAGGATTTTTCTTTCTTTCTGAACCTTGACTGTCTGTTTCTATGACAGTCTCTCCAGGAGGAATTGATGCTTACAGACTGAGAATTATTTTCCTTAGTGGAAAAAGTGGTCGCTGGATAGGTTTTGCTCAAAATCACTTGGAGTGTTTTTTGTCAGATACCATCTACTGCAATGAGATCCTGAGGTTCTAGTAGGTACAAAACCCAGTAAATTCAATCCCTGAATCTTGAAATAGGCTTCCTAGAGGTGGGAATTCCTGTGGCATCTGATACTTGATTTGTACTTGTTCTCCTTCAGCTAGGGTTTAAGTGATGGTTATGTTGCATGTAGAAGCATGTGTCTGTTATGTGAAGCTTAGTTTGATCCTTCACAGACTGCTGAACTGACCTTTCTTTGTCTCTTTAGGTATTTCCTAATAAAATGATGGAGCTCAACATATTTTATATTCCTTTACTTGCATCTCTAAGGCTGTGTTTTATTCTTTTAGTAAAGCTGCTATAAACAGTATGACTGAAACTAGGCCTCAGCACTGAAATTAGTTCTTGTCTATGCAGACTCTTACTCTGATATGCACTGATGGCTTTGCTGAAAGAAATTACTGCACAGACTTCCCAAGCTTACTCCCCCTCTGGGGCTGCGGGCAAATTGCTTAGCTCATCTGTCCTGGTTTCCCAGCTGTGGAGTTGGAGTAATTTATTATTAGTGTCAGTCATAAGAATGTTGAGGGTTAATCTGCAAGGACTGTATCTGCATAGTGTCTTTAGAATGTCAAAGCAGTAATGTATAATTGTAATTTTATTATTAATATTGATTATTTCATTAAAGTGTAATTTTCAAACAGTGTTTGTGTAGATTAAACTCATTTCATCAATAAATTGGCATCCTTCCAGCAGCATTAACTCGGTTCAGATTCTTGATCTAATAGTAAAGCCTAAATGTGTAGATAGCTCTGTAAAGAAAACAGCAAATGCCTAAAGAAACCCGTACTTTCTTGTTTTTAATCTAGACTGTGGACATCCATAAAGAAAAGGTCGCTCGCAGAGAGATAGGCATTTTGACGACCAATAAGAACACATCAAGAACTCACAAAATTATAGCGCCAGCGAACATGGAACGTCCTGTAAGGTATATTCGAAAACCTATAGACTACACAGTGCTGGATGATGTTGGCCATGGTGTAAAGGTAAGAATACCTGGACACTTGAGAACTCCAGTTAACACAGACCAGGAGATAGGGTTGGGGCAGAATGTTACTGACATTAAAATATTTAGTTAATTTATGGTAGGAAGGATTAGGGGTTTGATATGTTCCCACGTACAAACACTTCAATAACAAAATGTATTGTTTTACAGTGAGGTTTTTTTGAGCCATGCTTTCCATAACCTTGTGACTGTCAGTGGTAGTCACAGTGTCTGGAAATAATGGCTTATGATCTTAGGCTAATGAATTGACAAAAAATCCATGACCGACTTTTAAAACTATCACTCCTTCCTCCTCTGGTTAAATTGTCTCTGCCACTCCCTTGATTTTTCTCAGTAACAAAAGAAATAAATTTATCTGTTGTGGGGAAACTGCCTGGTGGGATCAGTTTTTTTATTGGGGTTTTTTGGAGGGTAGTCAGGAGAAAGAAGGTCAGCTAGTTGGCATTTAAATCTCAGTGGCATTTGATGTCTCACTCCCATTTGTGCTTTCGGACAGCCTCACTTTCCTTTTCTGTAAATAAAAGCCTTCATAAATTAATGTCTACTTCCCTTGAAAATGATCGTAGTTGAAGTGAATTAATGTAACACTTTGCTCTCTTGACATCTTTTTATAAAAAAATAGCTTTGTATCCCTCTAGACGAGGCCTTCCAGGTATATTCAATTCACAACAATATTCCCTTGAATGGCATTAAAAAGCTTTTATTCAACACCTGTGTATCCTCTAAAGCTTGATGTGCTCTGGTCAGTCAGTTGTGCAGCTAGATCAGCCCATCATGTGCCCTTTGAATTGCTGAGCTCTTGAGGAACAGATTTTTTCAGAACTACTTAACACAGAAGAGTGCCAGGGTACCTCCTGCTTCATAGTAACCCTCTGAATGCCCAGAGGAGTCTAATTCCAGTACAAGTTAGAAAGAAGCCCTATAACATAACAGCTCTAGACTATGAATTCATGTAGTGACTTTGGACTACCTGATTTTTTGTTTTGTTTGTAGGTAAACCTGTACTAGACCTGTAACTCTTAGGGTTGTTTTACACTAATAATTTAAGACAGACTGGATGAAGCCTGAAAGACATGCCCTGAACTACTGTAAAATAGAAACACTGGGATTAGAGAAATTGGTAATTTTTCAGTGCAGTCTCTGCATTTGAGGAGAGCGCTCTGTGAATAGGGAACACAGGAATCCACATGTTCGATGTCAGGATGTTGGTTTCTGCATCTAAGTGCTCCGGGGATCAAGTGCTGTAGAAGACTTTTTAAAAGTAGAATATTTACTGTTGGTCTCTGCAGTTGATGCTTTGCTGAACTACTTGTATTGTGCAGGCTCAAAACAGGTTGCTTGATCCATAACCACTGAAGTTGTTAAGGTGTAGCAGTTGCATTTTCTAGTATGACTATTTGGTTTTAGGAGTACTGGTGTCTTCATTTTTATTAACATGACCCTATTTGTTCAGGGGCTGAAAATGAGGTCCTATTTACCCATTTCTAGGCAGCTCTTATGGAACAATTCTAGTAAAGGTATTTTTAACTGTTTGTTTAATTCTATACTAAAAACTTGGTCTGTTCAGAGGTGAAATAGCTTCCAGAAATATCGAAATTATCAACTCATTACTAGTCAGCTACAACTTATATCTTGCTATTGTTTCTTTATGGAATGATTTGCCTGAGTATGTTTTATGACTGTGGAAGGCATGAAACACTTAGTAGAAAAATGGTGTTGGTATTTTCTATGTGGACTTGTTACACAAATTAAATAAGCTGCCAGCCAAACCTCAAGTATATAGTTCAAGGTGGCTGTCATGCATTTGACCCCTTCAGCAATGTTGACATTCAATGGACACACTATTGAGAAGAGCATGCTGAGGTAGTGAATGACATAATTAAATGTTTTAGCCATCATATTACTTGAGTTCCGAGAGTGTGACACAGACCATAGCTCTGAAGGAAGTAGCTTGCTTTGTCTGCAAACCTAGATGTAGCTAGTGCTGTTATAAGAAAATCAAACCAAAACAACTTAAACCAGATCAGGTCCTGTTGGAAGTCAACACAAATAACAGATGACACTGAGAATCTGAGTTGCCTCTTGAACATATAAATTCGTAGAACCATAGAATGGTTTGGTTGGAAGAGACCTTTAAGATCATCTCATTCCAACCCCCCTGCCATGGGCAGGGATACCTTCCACCAGACCAGGTTGCTCAAAGCCTCATCTAACCTGCCCTTGAACACTTCAAGGGATGGGGCATCCACAGCTTCGCTGGGCAACCTGTTCCAGTGTCTCACCACCCTCATGGTGAAGAATTTCTTCCTAAAATCTAATGTAAATCTTCCCTCTTGCAGTTTAAAGCCATTGCCCCTTGTCCTATCACTACAGACCCTTGTGAAAAGTTCGGGGGAATCATACGTAAATGGAATGACAAACTTTCTCTTGTCCAGAACGGTCTTAGAAGATGCTTCAGACTCTGTTAAGTCTTTTTTTCTTGACCAAAGATTTCACCCCGAGTTGGATAGCAGCGTGTCCAGTAAGGCCTTAGAAACCATGTTTTCTTGGAGGAAAAGAAGTTTGAATTCTGCCTAGACCAATTGTCAGTTTGATTAACTTGCAGGTCCTTGAATGTATTCTGCTGTGGCAACTGTCAATAAAATACAGTACAACACATACACTGACATTTAAGTATTAAATAAAAATTATGCAACACTTTGAAATCTGTAGGTCACAATTTATTGTTAATGGGGCTCCTGTGTTCTGGTGCAGGATTTGGTAAAGAAACAGAAAGGAAAAGTACAAGGAAGATAAATCAAAGATACAGGCTGGATTATAACCTGTTTCTGCTTTAATTTATTTCCTGAAATACTGATCTTAGGAAAAATATCATTAAAATATGCAGTATATTCTAAGGGGTGATCCTGAATTGTTTTATATGAAAAGTGCAATTAAAAATACTGTCTCAGAGAATGAAAAAAAGAATCAGAGTAAATACTGTCTTCCTCTGTACATCTTCCATCTGAGCAAATGCAGAAATGCCTCCTATGCATCCTCATAGCTCATTTTCTTTCTGTGTCTCTGCTTCTCACGGCTGTGTAGAGGGGATGCAAAAGCAGATGTCTATGGAGAAGCGTTCTACATACCTCCCTCTCTCATGTGTATGCAGCAATTTTTTGGGGGCAGGTGATGAGGGTGGGGGTGGCAGTGATGGTAAGCAGCTGTTCACTATAGCAGGTTTCCTCCCTGATGGGAGTCACCTCCTTGGAAGGCAGTGTTGTTTCCTCTCCAGCAGCTTCGTGGTAGAAAAGCTTTTGTAGAGCATCCTAGGATCGCAAAGGTGCTTTCTTCTTCAGTCTGAAACCTCCAGGGCAGACCCAAGCTACCCCAGCTGCTGCACTCCGTGCCCCTTCCCTTTGCAGGGGCAGATAGAGACAAAGTCTCCAAAAGGAGTACAGTTGATTTTTTTGTATATGTGCCTGTGAAGCCAAGGCTAGCATCAGTCAAAATCAGGAGAGCTTTTAAAGTTGGTTTGCTAGTGAGAAGGCTTTCCCTTGCAACACAAATATTATGTGTAGATGGCTCCAAGAAACACGCAGACAAGCATTTTTGCCGATCTGTTAAGTAGTTGCTCAGCTGTCACCCTCTGGGGATAGGGGAATGTAGCTGAAGTCGTTCTTGGTAAATAAGACTAACTGTTGTGATGTGAGAGCCTACCTTCCTGTGTAGAGCTTGGTTTAAAATTATTAGGCAGAGGCTACTTTAACATTTCCTTCCTTCTCTTCCTCTTCTTTTGTGAAAAGAAAAAAAAAGTGCCAGCAAATAAATAGGTCAAATATAATTACTCATACAGAAAACCCTTAGTTTAAGAGCAGGGAGAAGGAGGAGGAAGCTTGGAAGCTGCCTTAAAAGCCCTGAAGTTGGCCTTTGAATTTATTATAGTCTTTTTTTTTTATATAGGAGACAGGTAGAATTGCAGCAATTTGTAAAATGGCAGCTAAGTAGGAAAGTGAAAGGATGCCTCATGGTAAATGCAGATAAAATGTTGAATACATGCTAAATTGAAATGCCTAATAGCTGTAATTGGATCAAGCTTGTTTTATGGAACTAATGGTTCTTCAAAACCAAACTTGAATTGTATATGAAGATTGATCACTTTTCAGCCTTGTTTTAAGAAAAAATCTGGAATTTTGTCACCGTAAAACACTTGCATTTCAGTGCATTAAAACTGTAAGAAGCTTTCTAGCCCAGGAAGTCAAACAGGAGTTAAGCATTCAGAAATCTTTCTCAAACAAATGGAAGTTGGAAGGACTCCCTTAAAGTAGGGATTGGACCAAAACTTACCAAATACTAAGCTTAGAGAAGGGAGCCTTGCTCTCCCCTTGTTATACTTCTCAGCTGCCCTGCTAACCTGCCGTCCTCGTGCTGACATCTGTGTTGGTGTAAAACAAAAATGCAGATGAGATGCTGATGTGAGGGTGGAAGGCTACCTAATCATGCCTGCTTCCCCTTTAGGATAAGACCTTTTATGTGTTAGCCACTTGAGTATTAACTTTTGAATAATTCACTGTAATAAAACCAAAGTGAGACAGGGATCCTGAACCTGAGCCTCTGCTGCCTTTGTCCCTTTATTAGCCTCTATCAGACACTCACGCTTCAAAGGATGTCATGTTGCCAATTTCATTAATGTCACATCATCCCTCAGGGGTCATGGCCAAACAGTAAATATTGCTGTGGGGTAAAGAAAGCTACTCTGAGGGAAAAAGTAACTCTCCCTGTTGCCAACTCTAATGACTCTCTTGTGAGTGTTGACACTATGCTTTTCATAGGGTGCTTGCTAGGGGAAACTCAGAAGTGTGTGTAGTGTCATCTGAAACAATGTAGGTTTCAAGCCTTTCTGCTTGCAAAGAAAACTCAAAACTATGAGGTCTATTTTCTGATTTTGGAAATAATTTTTTTATGTTAACCTCATTTTTAGCTAGATTCAAAGTTACCAAC